ATTGGATCGATTTTTAGTCTAACACTTGAATCCTGGTTATGGAAAGAATAATTTTGACATGTTCATCTTTATAAGTTCTTAATCTGCGCCACTCCATGATCACTTTGTTTTATTTATGTGATGAATTCATATCTTGAGTTTTTTCTCATTTTCAAGAATGTTGTGAGTGTTCGACTTTGATTCAAAGAAAATCATGTGTAAGTGTGTGCTGGAACAATATTTTAATTGTATTTCTATATTGGGTATGTGCGTAATGTTTTGTGTGTTCAGTCTAGGAAATCAGTGATTGTATCTTTGATAAATTCGATATTCATATTTGGAATGACTGAAGATCTCTTTTGCGGGTATTGAGAATTCAAAGTTCAAGAGTTTCATATTGCAAAAGCTAGATTTCCAATTAGGTGGATTTTTTTTCTTTTTCTTTTGGAAAGCTTTAACTGAGGAGGATTTTATCGGAAAAGCTAAGCAATCAACAATTCTTAAGCTTTCCGGTTTCAGTTTTTCGGTTTGGTTATTCAGGGATAAACAATGAAATGTGGAACATAAGTTGCCTGCTTATGTGCGTCTTTGCTTATAAATGATTCAAAAGTATGTTAAAAATTCCCTATTAGTTTTCAAAATATGTTGGTTTGTGGAATATGTTGAAAATGTATCGAAATAAATAGTCCCAAATGGTCATAGGTAGTATTGTTGGTGGGTCTGGCTCTTTAATACAGTTGACGAACCTGAGAAGAAATTTTGAGCCCTCCCAATGCAAATTCCTTGTTCTGCCCCTGCTCATAGTTGTTTCATATGCTCGGAAATATGTTGTAATTATTCAATCATCATGCTAAGAACGAGAATCACATATTCTAATTGTTAATTTGTAATTCATACCTGCGGAAGACATTTTGTTTATGAATATTACCAACTAGATCTTCATCTCCTTACTCCTCAAAATAATCAGTCGTCAATGGGACAAGTCAAAACAATATGGAGAAGAGATGAGACCTAGCTATTATATAGGAAATTATAAAGTCGGTCAATTACCGACTCTAACCCTAATTAAGGTTTACATAATTCCGGCCCACATATTTAAAATTACCACATTATAATAATATATCTTATAAGGTGTACAACGGCACAAGTGATCACTAACATATTGGGCATAATCACAGTATCATTGCAAACCATATATCTAATTCGTAAAATTCACAATCAAATGGAAGCCCACATAATAGAATTATTCTAACATTCTCCCACTTGAGCAAATATTTGATTGCTATAGAATAAAACTTTTAACCTCTGGGTCAAAGTACATAGGTGGCCACACAAGTGTAGCTGCAATGATA